TGGTGTGACACAAGTAGGCGACGCGCAGCGCGCGGCAAGAGTCCAGCAGCAGCAGCCGCAGCAGCAGCAGGCGGCTACGTAGGTATTGAGGTCAGACGAAGAAACTGTAGTCGTCAGAGGTGCGCTAGGCACTCAGAAACACGGACCAAAAGTTTCAAATCATCACACCTCAGGATAAGGGAGCAGGGCTTGCATACATCACGCGCAACAGTGGACGATCGGACGCATGGGCGTACAACAGCCTAGTGGTGGTGTGCGTGGGAGTGCGGGTATGACACGGCCCAGGACCCAAGTGTCAAGGGTCAGTTCATCTGGCTTGACGGACCCGAAGGCCCTAAAAAGTAAGAAGGTTGGTGCTTCAGCGTCGATCAGTCGGGGAAAGTGTCGTCCTTCCCATTGACAGGCCTGGGCAGGCTGCATGATGCACGGATGTACAACTTTTGGCGGAAATGCGGTATCTATCTTTCTACCTATCCATCTATCTGACAGGGCAGGGCAGGGCAGGGCAGTGGGTTGACAAGCTCTCATGGCCATTCAGAAATGTGTTGGAACAAACGTATCGTCATCAGTCTCCGAGTGAGCTGAGTAATGAATTGTCATCACTATGGTCCACGAGCAGCGCTGGCACACCACGAACAGACGTCTCGTGGAAGCGCACTAGCAATGACAGCGGCTGAAGAGTCAGAGACGCCATAACGTCTGTCCATCCGCATGGATATCCCTGGCTGAGGGACCCATAGGACTGGGGCGACAATAGCATTCATCACTCTCTTCAGGCTGCCGGCACTGTTCAGGCCGCCGCTCCTTAATTCAACGGCCAACTTTATGCGACAACTGCAAAGACCTCTATAATGTTAGCACCTATGTACTTACCGGCAGAATTCTCAGGCAGCAAAGCTTATGGACGACAGGAACATGGCTCCAAGAAGGTTACTTTGACGGCGGCCATGGCAGCCGCAACCCCCGAAAGGAAGCGCGCGGTACCCGGATTTGATGTTCCAGTTCTTCACCTTGTAATACCGCAAAAAGAGCTTATAAGTCTTAATGTGACATGCGAACTTTTATGCGCAAATTATCCTATAAGGGTCTTATTGTACGAATGGATTCAAGAAACGGAAGAAACTGGAACCGACTGTTGCAGTTTAAGCAAGGGATCTTGCATCCCTTGCTTTAACAGCAACTGTCGGTTAAACAGCAGCAATCGACCTCTGGTATGCACCGTCAGATTGACGCAAACCCGGTTTCAGCAGAAAGGGTCTTTGTGCTTTCATACGTCTGCATACCCTTATGTGCCCCGACTTTCTTGTTGTCTGAACCATTCCGGCAATGTTTTCAGCACTTACCTCCCTCCACCGCTTCCTATCTACCGTCTCGACTTCCTGCACATACAAGCACGGACCCAGATATGCAGGCAGGTTGACGGGGGATCCGATATGTCCTAGGGAAACCGCTCTTTCCTTTTTCTACTCCTTGTGTGGCCAACCTAGGACGCTCTGCGGCATGGCCTACATTTAATGCTACCCGACACTTACACTGGGAACCCCTTGCCTAGGAACATGTCTCCTATTATTTTTCTGGCCTGTTGCGTCATCTACGCCATCCAAGGTTTGAAATTGTGTAAAGATTCATTATTTGCTCATATATTCACGAAAACCTGTGCAAAAATGCACGTTATGGAAGTGTGTTGATAGAGGGGGTGAGAGGAGGGCGGTAAGGGAAACGGGGGGCCGGAAGTAGGCGGGTAACAAGGTATAATTGTGTCTGCTGGAAGGGGAGCTCGCTGCGCTTCTCTCCATGCCCCGCTCTGGCCCTACCCTTTTCCCCTCTCCCCCTGTCGTTTCTTTGGCCTCCTGCATTTTATTGCCTCTTTTGTTCGCCTCCTCTGCTTGCTCGTCTGCCTCCTCTCCTCCTGCCCTGCTGCCCTGTTCCTTGCCCTTATCCCTGCTTGTGTCCCCTTACCCAAAATGCCATTTTAAGGCAGCCGACCACCACAATCGCCCCCTCCCCCAAATGTGAGCCAAGCAGCTGCGGTGTCCCTTTGGCAGTTGGTTGGTGTTTCTGGGCCTCCTGGTTTTTTAATTTTGCGACTTGTCATTCCACTCGCACCCTTCATACCTTCCGCCCCCAATCCCCGACAAGCAGCCGAGGACCCCCGAGCTCGGCATTTTCGTTTCCGCCAAGCAGCGTACGGCGATCTCCTGGTCCGCTTTGAATGCTGCTGATGTGGACCGCCTGACGTCCTCCCTGGACGTGAGACTGCTAGGGCCCATTTGCCCAACCTTTCACGTACGGCAGCATTACTAATGAGGATGACGAGCAACTTACACCGCATTATTGTGGACAGCTTATTCCGCTGGGGCAGGTGGGGGAATATCCGTGCGTGTGTGCGTGTGTGTGTGTGTGTAAAAGGGAGCGGGGAAAAGTGGGATAGCCTCTTCCCCTCCTCGGCCCCATGTCCAAGTTCCGGTTCTCCCACAGCACCGCCCTCCCTTCCCGAGTGCAGCACGGCGGCTGGCAGAGGGGGTGTCTTCCAGGGTTTGACACGCACGTGGTCCCCCACCACCACTGCGACCCGTCAGTGGAGGCTCCGGAGGAGCACCGCAGATACGTCTGTCTGTCTGTCTGTCTCTTGTGTGTATATGAGTATGTGTGAAGCATTGTTTTGTTGCCATTACGCCACTAGCTAGCCACTAGCTAGCCATGAAGGAAACTGAAAACAACGATGCGGTGCGGTGCAATCTGCAGCTGTGACGAATAAGCCACTGCACCCGGTATTTGGGTTCAGAAAGCGAAAAGAGGCCCTGCACACACACAAACTCCCTCTCTCTCTATCTCTCTCATGCACACATACGCACACACACACACATGCCGAAATGGCCTGGATTCACAATTGTGATTGGAATATATTCTGACGTTTCCTTGGGATATCATCAACAGTGCCACAGTACATACATCTACGCACACACACACACGCCGTCAACAATGTCGTTCACCAAATCAACATCAAAACAATCAGTACAATCAGTTTCTCTTTCGTCATCTCTCCCCCCCCAGCCGTTCCCCCAGGCCCTGCCGGCCCGCGCTGCAAACCCCCTTCCCTCCATAAAGCACACAGCACGGCCTCACACACCTCCACCTCCGAACGCACATTTGATCCCCCCTGCACGTTCCTCACCACCCCCTCTCACCACCGCCCCCTTGGGCATCATCGCCGCACCGCCCTCCTCCGCCTCCTCCTCGCCCTCCCCCTGGACCCCCCCGCAGCACCGCCTCGCCCCCTTCCGCGGCCACGGCACCCCCTTGAGCTTCTCCGCCAGCTGCCTGTACGGCTCCTCCCGCTGCTGCCTGGTCAGGGCAGCTGCTCCCGAAGTGCTGCTGCACACCCAGACAGCCGTGCGCGTGCGAGGGAAGGGCCACTCGCGAGGAAGCAGCACCTGCGGGCCGTGCTGCAGGGGAATAGCGGAGCGCATTGTACGGCGGAACACAGTTGCGAATTGCGGTATCGCGAAGCACACGTTCCTCGGGTTTGGCCGGGTAGGGGCGGGTTTGAGGGTTTGCGGGTTTGGCCCCCCTCCCCTCCCTCCGAAACAGGTAAGAGCTGCAGCAGAGGGCGGAATGCGACGGATACCTCCCCCCCCCTCCCCCTCCCCTCCCCTCCCTCTTTCCGCGGCACCACTTCACTCGTTCGTGGCTCGTCTTCCACCCCTCCCGCTCCCCCCTCCCCCCCCCCCCCCGGGGTTCCCTCCC